TGTGAGGAGAGAGCACGGAGCCGACTTCCCGGCCAATCAGGAAGCCAGCAGCGTGTAATGACGCGCTGCCCGGCTTCCTGGTACAGGAAGTACTCGTGCTAGGCATCGGAGCATTTGGGCGAGTACGGGTACTCGGCCAAATACTCGGTATCGGCACCCGATGGTCGGGAAGCTGGCCAATCGGGGAGCCGGGTGCCGCTTAATGACGCGGCGCCTGGTATTCTGATTGGCCGGGAAGCCGGCTTCATCTCATGACGAGGGAGCCGGCCAATCAGAAAGCAGGGCGCTGCGTCATTACACGGCACCCGGCTTCCATGATTGGCCGGCAAGGTGGCTCCGGCTGGGGACCGGAGGAAGGCCGTTCCTGGATGGAGAGGCCCCGGGGGGGCGACAGGCTGGACATGCCGAGGTAAATCGGGAAGCCGGGTGGCGAGTCTTTACACGCCATCTGGCTTCCAGTACTCGGTAATGGCGAGTACCGAAAAAAAAAATGATCGGTACCAAAATACCGGGATCTGCGCATCCCTAATTTCCCCTATTCCCTACTCTGGTCAAAATATACAACACAAAAGTTTTGGTTTTAGATAGAATTGACATATGATATACCCATGTGACCTCAGCATAGACTCTGAGCAGATCCCATGCTTGCGGTCATTAAGGGGAAGGAGTCAGTACGGTGCTCTAGCTGGCGTAGGCGTGCCCTGTGATAATACAAGACGGGGGGGGGGAGTTAGAAGGTATAGACTGATTATTAATAGGGGAGCACAGAACTCCCCCCCCATCATAGTGAGTGGAGCAGGTAGGGTGACACACAGGGGCATTGGGTGCTACATTAGAATGCAGGCCGCTCCATGCAATGCCACCGTGGTGCCAGAACTCCATAATACAAGGAGAGGGGTGTCCTTGACAGCCAACACACAGACAGGAAGGGGCTAAACATTACTCCATGTTGGTTCTAGATTTTGGCTCCACATTAGATGCTGCCCAACGGTCACATGTGGCCCCTTGGACCCCCAGCTGTCTGTAGTCAGAGTATTGATTTGTACTAGACTTATGTTACATGTCCCGCCCAATCCCTCGCTGCAGACTGGAATATACCGTGAAGACAACCAAACCTGTAGCCTGTCAACAGTCTCTGACCATCATCTCCTCCATGTCTGAAGTCTCCAACAGTCCCCGTCTAGAGTTACATACGCTGAACATCACGTGCACCGTGCCTTGTAGTTTGACGACCACTTAACCCTTTGGTGGGAACAGATTTTGAAGGCAGGATTAATGTGGTCCCCAAAAGCGGGGGGGCAGGGCTTGGGGTACAGTCTACTATAGCCATCTCCTGTGTGAGCGTAGACCAAGTGCCCGATCACATACCTTGACTGTGCTGGCTTTTTGGCAGAAGATGGACGCCAGGACCGGGGAAGCCGTTACCTTTGTCTGTCCACATTATTGTCTGTTTTAATAAAGCACATTGTGAACTTATCAATACATCAAATGTGTGAATTCTTCTTCTGTAACAAGCATGCAACTCATTCAAACATCTTCCTCAGGAACCGGAGTCCCCCAAGGTGGTGAATGTGAATCAAGGACTAGGCTTTCCGCCCGGTTACAATAGTAAGCCTTCTACAGCCTTATTTAAAGGAGAACCATGGGGTCAGGGCTTCCCCCCCCCCCCCCCCCCTCTTCTC